ATTTGATTCAACTAATTTTAATTATGTATTGAATGATGGTAGGTTATATATTTTATTTGTATATGTGTGCTAGGATACTATCTACGTGTTTAAACCAGTTAATATCATGACTGTTAGTGTTTATGTTCAAGACGTTTATAGACATTATGTAAGAATTTTTAAAATTCATTTTCTGAGTTTAATAACGAAAGAATAATAAGTGATCAAAAATTATAAATAGTGATCAGCAGTGGGATATATGTTATATCTTAGCGAAGATTAAACTACGAGTAACTTCTGAGAACTATTAATTGGCCAATATATATATATATATATTCTTATTGTATAACCGTTTAGTAACTAGATTATGTATATCTATATTCCTCTTATTATAAGCTTCATTTCAACCTATAGATCATTATTATACGATTTACTGTTCTTAAGTTATGTTCAGTTTATTGATTATAGTCTCCCACGTTCTCAGCCACATTTTCACTTGATTTTGTATAAATGTTATATTTTATGAAGTGATGCGGTTTGTTTGGCTGGTATATAAACTAAGCATGTTTGAAATAAATGATTCGCATAGTGGAATCTGTTGTTGGCGTTCTGGACTCAAATGGACGGGTTAGGCGAACAAAGGACCAATAAGGCCGCTAGGCTGCTCATATCGTTCGAACGTCATTGGCTTAGCACAGTACTAAGAGTGAATAAGGCGAATAAATTACATGATAACTAGCCGAGCCTAAAGTCACAACAATATGCAGCATCTGTTTCATTATATTTCACTTTTTTAATTTGATATACTTATAGTAGAATTGATATTCTTACTATAATTCAAGCTCAATACTCATCGCTTTAAACGTCAAAGGTATATATTATCAGCATAGTCATCAGCTTACTATGAAGTACATCAGAAGAGTTAAAGCTTTTGTTACTACAAAATACTTACTTGTTTTAAATAATTTTACAACATAGTGGAAATTCCCATTTTAACTTCTAGACCACTGGGCCAGTATCCATCGGTGTACATGCCATACTTTAGTCAATCGCGATATTGTGCGAGCAGTATCCATTGTATTCAGCTGGTACCTTTCTCATACCCAAAAAGATTAAACTCCACTGGCGGATGTACGCCCCTGCGAAGTCCTATACTACGATGAACCAACAGTTCAGGGCCTCTAGGTTTCAAACAATTATCTAACTTAGATCGGTTCATGATCAATAGCCCAACAGTGTGTCAGTAATTTTCACAGCCGCCATAATGATAAAACTATGATATCTTTTCTTGGAAAGTTAAAATAAATCAATTCTGTTCACCATATAAGAATTAATTTTAAAAAATGATGAATTGTTCATTCACTAACACAGGCCATCAGGCCTCCTGTCCTTCCCAAACTAAAACTGAAACTGAATTGTTCATTCACGTTGTCGATTATCAAAAATTGACAGATAATTCCCATTTAAACATTAAAATTAAAACACGAATTTCAGCGAAGGGATCTCTTTTCAACGAATTTATTATCAAGCTGTACAATCTTATATCTATATGAAAATTTTGTTTTTGTAAAAGTACTAATTCCGTGAGGAAATGTGAACACAGTTAATAAAAAAAGGGTTACAATACTAGATTACGTAATATGAATAATAACAATAGATTTAGTGAATATAACAAGATGATTACAATGTTTTTGTTATAATAATTAAAGGTCATAGAGGTGTAAAAATAAATATGGTGATATGATGAGCGTTTACGAATAAAACAATGAGAATATAAGACATCAGTAAGGAGGGGAATGCAGTAATAATAATAATAATAATAATAATAATAATAATAATAATAATAATTGGATAATCAAAATGCTTAAGGCCAAGGTAACGATAACGATAAGATGTACTTCTTTTGTACGCATAGTTCTGGTTTAAGCTCCTGGATGGCAAGAGCTTCGGCTATTTTTAAAAGTTGTATACGAAGAAATCTGGGTAGATTTGAACGAATCATATAAACAACCTTAAAATCAATTTGTGGATCTGTTGAATGGTTATAGTCGATTAGGTGTTCAAGAATAGAACTCCTAATTGCTTTCCTTTCACCCTTATAGAACCAGGCTGGGATATGTTCTCGTATCCGAGTTGAAAGCGAGCGCTGGCTACGGCCAATGTACCTTGCTCCACAAGAGCAGGTGAACTGGTAGATGCACATGGAGGCGACCTTCGCTGAAATTCGTGTTCTGATTATCAAAAATACCAGAAATACATTAATCTCAAAAGCTGTCGTACAATTATCATTGTAAAATAATTTTTTTGTATTCTCATACATTCTACTCATTTTAATTGTGTTTGAACATATGAACTTCTTAAGACGTAAGATGAACTAAATATGATACAACAACTTACCTCATTAATTTCTTTTACATCAAATCAGTACCTGGTATCGATCCCTTACGTCATTATCCAAATCATAATTGTCCTAATCGATAATCTTAGAAATGACTCAAAAGCAGGTCTAAGATTTTCCTATCTCATTTAAAAATTTAAAAACACAATACAATTTGATTTAGTCTACTTTATGAATACTGTATAATTAATGTCTTCTGTTAAATATTTGATTGAAGCTAGAACGTCCGCACTTTACGACCATCACATTAAGCTCTGGCACTGAGTTTATTTAATCCAGTGATTAGTCTTTACAGTTTAAGTCAGTTCTCCAAAAATAAACTTTTATCTCCTGTTGCTAGAGGTTATCTGCCACAACTGATATATAATTTATTCTACTTAGCATAAATCCCTATCCTAACTCCAAGACATCCGTAGAAAAGCAAGTAGCCAACCATCATTTAGTAACCGTTATTTAGAAAATCCGATTGGTGCTTTCAGTTTACTCAATCTTAACAATTAACGTCTTGACTTTATAACTCATTGACCTTCTAAATTTTTATTATACGTTTGCTCCTTTAGAGGAAATTTATTCATCATCAAGCGATCAAGTATTTTCTATTCAAAAAGATCAATATTACAATTGTACTAAAGCAATAAAAATTGAACTTCACCCTTCGGACCGAAATTATAGTACAGTACGCTTAATATTCAAAAGTCTTGAAGTCGAAGCCTTTCGGGAAAGTCCTGGAACTAGTTACGTTGGCAAAGGTTAGTTTTAATTGTGAAAAATAATCTAAAAGCGCTTTTTATCGATAGTTTTCCAATAATCTCTTTTCTATAGTGTAATAATAAGATAGGGTTGATCTACAATAATGTGACATATCTGTGTCATAAATTTGAAAGTTTGGCCACATGTGTACTTGATATGGCCTTTATGTATAAAAACAATGACCTCCGATTAAATATACATTTAATAAACAAAGTAGTGGTTGGAAACGAATAATGGAAATGTATAATATGGTATGGAAAATATTAGTTGTAGTCACTCTGTGACTAAGAATAGAGAACCAGGGTAGAATCAATGTTAGAACAATCTGTATCCACGGACATAAAGGTAGTATGAGTTTTCTGACTACCAAAGCTTTTTTAGTCGTAGGAACGTTCCATCACCCCTCTCTGTGTTTGTTTGTTCACCCATACATATGAATTGAGTAATGCAGTGTTCTGTGATGTAATCTTTTACGAACAATATCTTGAAAACCATGCGAAATTTAATACAAGTAAACAGTATTTTAATTTTTAAATTCAGTTTTACGTTTCATGTCTTCATTATTAAATAGAATCACATTGTTCCAGTGATGATAAAGAAAGTTTGACATACATCATTGTGAGTATATCTATCTTCACTATGGCTGTGGTCATGATATTCGTCTTGTGCTTAAGCAATGATGAAACTCAAGTAGTTGGAGTTGATCATTATACATAATACAATACTTTAAATTACTGACTAACTTATCGAATGATGAACCTGTTCTCTTAATGCGACCAATTTATTTCAATAATTGTATTTTATCAGTCTGTATTTAGACGTGTACGTTGTTTTACTTACTAAACATTTATGTCTAGTATCTTTCATACGTTACAATTTATTCAATTTATATATAAACTTATTGTTTGAATCCCTGCATTTTTGATATCATGTTATTCAGTTTAGATAAAGCTGAAAGTTTTTTCAAAATCAGTTACCAGTTGATTGCTTTTTCAAATTTCTGTGAAATTGAATCAGTAATGAGTGAGATAGTCAAATAATAACAGCACCGAATGATTTCCATTCCAAACAATGAATTGTACATTAGCGTACTGTTTGAATGATCTGATACTCATATTGTGATAACAATTTCTCAGCTTGATCCATGTAGGTTATTAAGTGGACTCAATCGAGGATTCTAAAGTTAGAGAGTAAGAGAGATTCAATTTTGCATAGATTTAAATAGTCTTTCAATTTATATTTATACACGATAAAAACTACATACTCACAAGATAGGGATCTCCGCATACTACTTAAATAAATCTAATATCACCTTCTGAACACAACATTTTTGAGAAAATTCTTATAGTTTATATGGGCTATATCCGTATAAAACAAATTAGGCTTTTAGTTTCTTACTGTGAGAAAATAACACTGGATAAATCATAGGAATTAATAAATCATGAATGATATGAAGTTTCATGATGAATTTCCACTTCTAGGATAACTTACGCCTGTTACTCCTAACGGAGCATAGACAGACGACCAGCATTCTACAACCCACTCTGTACTCAGCCTTCCTTTCCAGTTCTATCCAATTCTTGTTCATTTTTCTCATGTCTATCTCCATTTCCCGGCGTAATGTGTTCTTTGGTCTCCCTCTTTCTCATCGACCTTGAGGATTCCATGTGAGGGCTTGCGTTGTGACGCAGTTCCTCAATATGCTTTCCTCAATGTGTGTCCTATCCACTTCCAGCGCTTCTTCCTGATCTCTTCCTTCACTGAGATCTAGTTTGTTCTCTCCCACAATAGGTTGTTGCTGATCGTGTCTGGCCAACGGATTCGAAGTATTTTGCGTAGACAACTGTTACTAAACACTTGTATCTTCTGGATGATGACTTTCATAGTTCTCCAGGTTGCCGCCCCAGTAGACAGTAGAAGTGTCTTGACATTTGTATTGAAATTTCTGACCTTGGTGTTGGTTGACAGTTGTTTTGAGTTCCAGATGTTGTTCAGTTGTAAATATGCTGCTCTTGCTTTGCTGGTCCGCGCTTTCACATCTGCATCAGATCCACCGTATTCATCAATGATGCTGCCCACATATGTAAAGGTTTTTACATCTTCCAAATCTTCTCGGTCAATTGTGACTGGATTGGTACATGTTGTGTTGTATCGGAGTATCTTTCTTTTCCCTTTGTGTATGTTGAGACCTAGTGCTGCTGAGGCTACTGCTACACTGGTCGTTTTCTCCTGCATTTTTTGTTGCGATCGCGATAGTAGGGCCAGATCATCTGCTTCTAGGATAACTGGAGGTGGAAATAATAGTTTTCGTTAACTTTCAATAAATAGATGTTTAAATCATTGAAAATTGTCATACATCTTATACCTAACTTTCTTTAGTGAAATTGTGTTTAATAATTTGAACAAAAATTAACTAGGCTTAAGTATGAATTTTATTTTAGATAAAGAAATGTGACTCGATAAGCTTTTTGATTTGTCTTAACATTTTCATGTTTTCAAAGAAAAATCATTAAAATATACTTTTCACAGATTGAACTCATGAGTCAGTTGAAGCTAGACCACCATTGAAAACCTGGAAGCACTGGACGGCCGTTTCGTCCTAGTATGGGACTCCTCAGCAGTGCGCACCCACGACCCCGCACCACCCGAGGCTCGAACCCAGGACCTACTGGCTTCGCGCGCGAGCACTTAACCATTAGACCACTGAGCCGGCATCCAACGGTGTTAATGTCTAACTTCAACCAATCCACGAAGTTGCGCTACCGTACACCATTGTCTTCAGTGAGTTCCTATCTCACAACAGACACTTCTGGAGTTCTAGTGAGAAGTCGTTACCAGTGGAGTTCAACCAGGTCTGTTGTGAGATAGGAACTCACTGAAGACAATGGTGTACGGTAGCGCAACTTCGTGGATTGGTTGAAGTTAGACATTAACACCATTGGATGCCGGCTCAGTGGTCTAATAGTTAGGTGTTCGCGCGCGAGTCAGTATGTCCTGGGTTCGAGCCTCGGGTGGTGCGGGGTCTAGGATGCGCACTGCTGAGGAGTCCCATACTAGGACGAAACGGCCGTCCAGTGCTTCCAGGTTTTCAATGGTGGTCTAGCATCAACTGACTCATGAGTTCAATCTGTGAAAATTTCTAAAAATCTCCACGAAACACATTCTGATAAAAATATACTTTGTTAGAATGGTAATAAGCAATGAGTAAAATCACCAAACTTTTGTACTTTCGATTTCTTTCAAGCTTTACAACAGAATTTAAGTAATAAATCTACAGTTCAGAGAAAGTTTTAAAATGTTAATTTTTTTTTTGTTTTGCTTGAAAAGAAAAAAAGCAATCATATCATTCGTATAGTAACAACATATATAAATGTGCAACCTATAAATAAACGCACTTAAAATGTTTATCTAAAGTTAAAAAAGTTTAGTGAGTTTTAATTGACTACAACTGATATCGACGGGGAATTATAGCAGCTTCCACCACACCTCCAGATTGTCTATTTCGTTTAGAGATTGAATGAATCATTTTAGTCTAGTCAGGTATCTTAAATCCTTTTGAAGTACTTCATAATCTGTGACTTTGTTAACTAAGTCATGTGCGCTTTTACGTGTTTGTTTTATGTTTGTCATCCATAAAGTAACTAGTTATCAGCAAATTATGCATTATTCATTTCTATGCAAAGTATGAGTTATCTGTTATTCGCTGAGTAGGCTTGTTTTCATTCTTCTATTTTCATCTCATGTCTTCTTACTGTTTAAGCATGAATGTCTGAAATGAAATTCTTCCGTCTTAATTCACATTTGGCATTTATTACCACTGTTGCCTTACGGAATTAGCCCAAGTATAATATACGCGATTAAATAGGAAATTTATATTTTATTATCAGTATGGGGTTGTGGAGATTGTTGGGTTTTTGCTTGAGATCATGAACTGATGAATGTTCTACCATCATTGAAAACCTGGAATCACTGGACGGCCATTTCGTCCTAGTATGGAACATTAACACCGTTGGATACCGGCTCAGTGGTCTCGAGGTTCATATGCGAGACCGAGTGTTCTGGGTTCAAACCTCGCGTGTGGGATAATGGCTGTGCACTGCTGAGGAGTCCCGCACTGGAACGAAAAGGTCGTCTAGTGTTTCCAGGTTTCTAATGGTGGTCTGACATTCATTAGCTCATGATCACATCAAGGACTGTATTCAATTGTTCGGCCTTTATCGTTTATAATGTATTTAGTTATGTGCTACAGAACGAACAATTATAATAATTAATTTTTCATGCATTCGTCAACCTAATCACTTGTGTAAATAACGGAATAATATAAGTCAAATACGGACAGAAAATAATAAACATGAACTAGATAAGCATAAACGTACCTACTCAGAACATTACTCGTTACGAGCTTTAATCAAACTCAAAATAGAAAATAAATAGTATGACTAAGGAAACATGAGCTGAATAATATAAGAAGTATACAGATACGCACAACCAAATACAATATATATAAGTATAAAGCTGAAACGCACACGAATAAAAGAGACACATTTACTGAAGGGTATAAGACCTTATGAATAGAACATTTTGTTGTGGAATATCTTCATACATAAATCAACCTGAGAACCATTATTACTGCAATTTTCAGTGTTGTAAAATTTCCAGAAGGCAAAACGAAGTTGCGGCAACAACTTATTTTAAACATAGCTCGAATCAAGTGACTAGCAAGCCCATAATGCAAGAGACAAGTTGTTTGATGTAGTCTAAGAAGTCGATATATAGGGGCGTGTAAATAAATCATCGAGCGTTTTAAGCAATATTTCAGTCAGTAAAAGAAATATATGCATAAGCTGTCACATGCAACCAATCAAACATGCATTTGCACAAAAATGAATATATGTATATGAAGATACAGGTGAATCATTACAGACTATAATAGCATTGTATGCCTTCGAAGTATGTTAACTAAAGAGACTGGTTTATTTAAATATATATCACCTCATGTGAGGGTGAAGGTGGAATGAGTTGTTAGGAAAATGAGAATGGTTCAGGAGTCAAAAAGTATTTGAATTTTTAAAGTATAACTGAGAGCTAGGATAAGCTCACAGGCGTTATTTTTATAGAAGTTATGGTTAAAGTACCGATAGCTGAGTTAGCACTCAATATCCTTCTCTTTTTGGAACACTATAAGGATATTATGGGCAAGTAAAATAATTTTGCGGTTAACGTTATATTAAGATAGTCCTTAAGCAAGTGATAAATTATGAGTAATACCATCATAATTGTTACGATATTTTCTTGAAATATTGTGGTGAGTTTGACCTGGAAATTTATGACAGTAGGACACTTTCATCAATCCTTTTAAAACTCTCACTAGTCAGTGCTAGCTAGCATTCTGAATGCATTCGTTGAGTCTGTGGGATATCTAGAAAAAAAGAAACGAATGTCAGCACAACTTCACAAAAACCTAGTTTGGTGTACATTAAATTATTGTTACAGACTTGAGTCTTTATTGTCTTGTTATTAGAAAAAAGTGTAGCGGTAAATAAATCTCCAAAACGAATAGTCCTGAAAGTCTTCGACACTGATTGTGACCTCAGTAGTTTTACTGGACACACCCTGGATGAGGACGCTCGGTCACGCATTGTCACAAGATCACGAGTTTGTAGGCCGTGCTACGAGTCTATCACATTTACTAATCAGCTTACACCAAACGCTTATCAACTTATCGACAACCTCCCAAATATATCTTCTAAGTCATTCATTTTTGACTTCCGAATTGATTGGGTTGGTATCGTTTGATTTTAAAGGCATTGCGGACAAGAGCATTGTCAAATCCTGAGTATCTGAGGTATATACTTTGTGTTACTTGGAATTTAGTGTTTCTTTCGATACAGCCCTGGTCATATCTTTTGGGTTTACATAATTTTTTTATTGGTACGAACTAATGATTCCTTTGTACTTCACTACCTGCCTATTACCAACTACAAGCATAATACATTCATCTTTGCTCATCTAGTTCTACCTGCCTTAAATGGCATTATTTCGGGAATTCTCAGTAAGCATGTTAATTTGAACACTTTCAATTATCAAATGGAAACACTACTAGCTAAAAACAATCAATCAGCCATACTAGATGATATTTTAACTGATTACCAAACACACTTCCTCTCCCTCAGAAGTTAAACGTTCAGTTACCTCCGCATACAACAGAATGAAGTGTTTTTACCAACCATTATTGCCTACCTTTTTAAGTGACTCCGGGAACATTATATTATAGATTTGGACACTGGTGTCGTACACCTCTAACCTATCCGAATCCTTTTCACTTTACTAAAGAACCGAGCTTATTATTTTCTTCATACATACAGGCTATTTTCAAAAGCATTCTGAGAACGTACGTTTGTGCAGGCATATATGACGGCAATTTAGTATTGCTGAACTATGTGCAGAAGCTAGTATGTAATAGTTTATCAAAGTGAAATTCAAACAGTTCAGTAAAGGTTTGAAGTGAAGAATAGCACATAAACTTTGATTGCAAAATGTACTGTTTTTCAGCTCTGTATATTGAAGCTACTTTGAGAAGAGTAGGAGTAGTTATTTTGCGTTTGAAAAGTTTGTTTCACAAACCAGACTTACGTTCTAAAATATGAAGTTAGGCATTGGATTTCGAATTCCTATATGAACTTCAAACTTACTTGAATTGATAGCATAAAATATTGTGGCCTACATCAAAGAATGATAAAAGCCATCAGCTATGTTCGTTTTGAGTCGTCTGAAAGGCCCTGGTTGCCAGATAAATGTGGTTTTTGTGATAACTGATAATTTTTGCACGCCATGATTCAAATTCCAAATATAAACTTTCGAATGTGCCCATGGAATTCTCCTTGGCTTAGTTACTGTTACATACGCGACTACTACAGCGGAAATTAGACAGTGGGTGTTAATAGTTAACATACTCAAATCAGTTACTTCTGGCGATTACAATAAGACGGATGGGTTGATAGTAGGGATAAACATAACTTAAAGCAGAACCGCAAATACTCGTCAGTCTAAAATAAGGTTTATAAAAATGCACACTACTTAACGGCTATAAGTGATGCTTGAATTGGTAAACGACATATGGGTGTATGTAAGTATTTACCTATGCAATTCTACTACCACAACGCCCGTAGCTCTCCTGGAGTTACTGCCGGTCACGAGCTCACACAAAGCAGGAGGATTGGGCATGAAGTGGACAACCTCATGCCGTTGAAAAAAGTTTTGCCATAAAAAGGGCAACCAGATTGAGCAAATTAAACCATTTTAACTCTGTCCTGG